ACGTATTTTAACAACATAAATAGATACGTACTACCTATAATATTATAGTCTATAATAGCTGTCGCATTATATTATATTGTCTGTGCCGAGACGCACACTATCTATCGTGCCTCGTATCCCCCGGACCACCTCCACCTCAACACCCCCCCCCCCACTCCTAATCTGACAATCCGGGCGTCAAATTCACGTCGCGGCCTTCGTCTCACATTTTATCGGATCTGAGCGCGTTCGTGAGACTCGAAGAACTAGGTTACACAGCGTCGTTTAATATCATAACGTGCCCGACCGAACCGCGTTCAGGCCGGTGCAGCAGTAGAAGAATTCGACGGGGATAATAATATATAAAAAGAAAAAAATGCGAGTTGTATATAATATATATATATATGTATTATATTGTAGATAGGTACATATTATTATTATTAGGTATACGGCATGTACGGCGTAATATTATCGTATTATAGCGTAATAATTTTCGTTCGATTATAACCATACGTCATTATCCTAGGACGTATGAACCGATTGCAGGTTTCTGCAGACTGCCAGAATTTTATCAGAACTGCACTAGCAAATATTATATAAAAAATAATATCTGATACCCGTAAAATCTATCATAATCGTTTACATTATTTGTCTACTGCAGAACGTCTTTACGTAATGTGATAGAAAAAAATTAAGTATACCCGCATTTCAACATTTAATACATCACATATTGTCATATAATATATTTATTATAATACATTACATAACACGACTCCAACATTTAAGGCAACAATTATTCATATGTTTGTGAAATGACCTTTAATATACCTATCTAAATTGGTACTTTGTACACGACGTCATCGTCAATGCTATTTTTTTTTTAATACGTATTTGCATACAACCGTTATAATATGTTTCTTTAACTTTGGATGCAAGAGTGCATTTAGATGCACCGCACAATACGTATACATATATTGTATACATTTTTTTTTGAAACTGCGTTTTCATGCATAGACCGCTTTTATAGATACATTACTCATCGGGTGAACCCCTAGCGTGGCTCGGAAAGAACACCTTAACCACAACACCGGATGCGAGGATATAAGGTTACCGAGGTTCGATGTACATCATTGTGGTATATAGCCTGCGATAGTGCAATAGCCATATTGATACCTAAAATAAATCCATAATCTAATACAGTAGGTATGTATATTCTATAAATTATTTTGTCTTTTTACGTTTAATATTATCATTATAATATACATCTGCAGCTATTATTCTCTCACACTGTGCATATACTATAGGTGTTATTGTTACTCAAGTACACCGCCGGCTTTATGCATATAAGCTTTTCTAAATGGTTTATAATATACATGGCTTATAAAATCATGTATGTAAAGAAACCCATTTCTCTTTTGAGACGTCAAATAAAAAAGACATCTCACGTTATACTTTATTGTTGTGTGCATGCATGGACTAGGACTAGGTTGTCTAGAAAACCGTTTAAGTCGTGTGTGAAGTCCTCCCCTATATTGCATATTTGCATATAATTGGTTTTTCGGACTGCCGTTTATAGTATATACAAACACTGAAACACATAATATATTATAATACAATATACTTCGAGAATGTAATATTCTGTCGAGTATTTGCATAACACATCTCAACAATTTCCAGGTCCATTCCGTAGTCCGTGGTGTCTTAAAATCTCGTTAAATTCTTGACGTATATACACTAGTATTCATTTATTTACGTTATAATATGTTATGAATAATCAACTTTCGCTTGACTGATTTGTTCGTGCAATCTTCAATCTGTTTTAATTAAACATATATTTAAACTCGTCAGCGTCCGTCCGGCGTGATAACGTATAAATACGAGCATTAAAGTGATGCGTTTTTCTCCGAGCAAATGCCGAAACGTTAAAATTGCAATTTCAAAAAGGGAAAGTTGCTTATCTTGGCGTATAGGTTTTCAGACATATCGCTCACACATTTCACTGCTATTCATCATTAAATGTTATTTATTTTAGATATTTTTCATTTTTCGTAATCTCTTCTTCTCAGAATCTTCATCATTATTTGCCATATTGCCGGAGACCGACGACCTCTGGGATTGACCTGCGTCAAATAACCGGTTCATCGTTTTTCGTTACATTCCGGATAATAGTCATTAGGAAGAAGAAAGATGGTATATAATATTATATAGTAAATACGACGGTTTTAATAATATAATATTATAATCATATTTTGGAATATTTTTCACGTACCGATTATTAAGATAGTTATTAAATCGAATAGATGATTAAACTATGCATAATGGCATGGTCCATGAGAAGTTTTGTATTTTTATTAATGATCCCGCGGTGGAGACTTGAACGCTATTTTAAGCAGTGCCTTTCGACTGTGACGGCGGCATGCACAGCACTTACTATTTATAATGATACAATCGTCTCGAAATCGATCAAGTGGTAAAAAAATATCTGAAACCAAACGTTTACGAATTTTAAATATTTTTCGCACGTAATACTGTTTCGATAATGTGGCATAATAATTTATAAAGATCACGTTGTCTGTGATATTTTTTAATGCATTTTGTATAGCCACAACAAACAGTTTTAATTGGTCAATTTCCATAAGTCTGTTTTATATAACAATAAGGCTTTCGGATTTATTATCTGATAAAAACCACGAACGACAAATTTCATCGGAATGCATATTTTATTACACTCGTACGTGGTAAAAATCATTATGTGCTTATAATTTATAGTTAACTGTAACTATCGTATATTATACACATCGATGACATAACAGCGTGTATAGGTAGGTATGCTATTTATTATATTATATTATGAACGTTTACAGCATTACAAATTAATTTAATTTAATATCCGATACTGAACCAATATTCTCCTACGCTTCAATGTGTACAGACCGTGTTACGTCTTATAATAAAATATAACTTAAAATAATATATTAGCTATTCAAAGTTAATTGGTCCAGTGTTATATAATGCGCACTATGTCTATATATTATTAATATTATTATAATACCTGTATGTATAATTTAGTATAATCATTGTTGATTCTTTGTTTAGTTAGAATAAGGAAATACACAGTATCAGACACGTTGCAATAATTATAATCGGACTGCGTATTTAAAAAAAAATATTTTCTTGAGTTAGACTATAAAACAAAAGCAAATCTAGGACTACCTATAATTAGTTTGGAAATGCAAACTCTGCGAGAGTAATCGGACCGGACAACCAACCTTTAATTGTTACGATGATGATGGCCATTATAATATTTAACCCGATTTTATAATATACCTACCTAGTATCGTTCGCGGGGTCCAAGACGAACTTAATATACGACTGCAGCAGCCGACCGAATGATAATTTTATCTACATATATATACATATTCGGCACAATCGTGATTTATCAATGGCGTATTATAATACTATACCTAATAATGTATTATCCCGACCTGAGAACGTCGAGTGCAGAAACTCGGCGGAGGTGCAGCGTCGTCACGGTGTGGTATATTATAATATTATAGTGGTATATACGCGTGCGTGGGTAGTCTATACCCAATTATTATTATTATTATTATTATTATTATTACTATAATAATAATAATAGTAATGTTATCTCTGGTGGATATTTTTTTACCCGAGGTTTCCTGTAAATTCCGGACCCGTGACGAAATAAATAAGAGTCGCCTCGACTTGGAGCGCTAGGGTTTTGCGCGCGCGCGTCCGGGTTTCGACGTCGAAAATCGCGAGGTATATAACGGTGCTGCAGCTCGCTCGTATAATATTCGTGTTACGCCCACCCCGACCGAAGACGAAAAAAAAAACGAAAAACGAAAATAAATGATAATTGCACGACACCGTGAGTCGGGTGCACCTATATACACAATATAACATATATAAATATACAATATACGTACGAAAATTCTCACGATCCGTTTCGCGTCCCGTCGCATGTATAATAATATAATATTGTGTACCTGCAGCAGCGGCGTTTTTAATAACGCAACCCGTTCCTCGTTATACGTGAGTTTGGGAAATCGTCGGAAGTGTACACTGTACATCAATTCTTCGATCGAGCATTCCACGATGAGGATATACTCTCGCTTCCGCATACCGTCTCGTATTTTATTATAATAATATATATAATATTATGGCTGAAAAACGGCTTAAAATAATCGCATCCACGTAGGTATATCACAATAATATAATAATAGTATATAATATGTGCAAATAAAGCCGGTGTTAAATAATGGCATGAACGAACAATATTATAATATACCTACTAATGCACATTTTACAAGCAGTAGAAACCGGCATTCTTTGAATAAAAATTAATCTCTCTTCGAGGCCTCTGCACCGTGCAGATAATTCTCAACCACCGGACGCTTTATTTTTTGTTTTCGTTTCTGTATATCAATATTCGTCATAAATCGATCATCGTGTCGCAAATTTTCGATTAGAATTTATTGTACGCAAAGACATTATCATTTTTTTGCGATGCCGATAGTAACTAGTAGTATATAGTATTTGCTCACTCGACAGTCGACAACGATATATATATAATATATATTCGATAAGTCGTTTTGGACAAATAACAATTTCTCTATAGCACCCGACGTGTGTAAATCGTGCAGCTATAGTCAGGTATACGTCGAGTGCGGGAACTAAAATTATATATATTTACCTATGTATATATGTTATGTGTATGCAACGCCGGCGGACGTTATAATAATATAAGCAGAATCGAAGATAAATACGATCACTATAATATAGGGTTCCAATAAATCGCGATACCATATATTATTATATCTGTGCCGAATAGAAGTTTCGCACAAAATGTTGCGGGTCATCATCAAGACGAGAAATCGTGTACACATTTTTAATTTTAATACAAAATATACATAGATACATCGCTGCGGCGCGTTTACGCATCACACGTATTTATAATAAATGAATGGGAATAAAATATAGCAAACTACGCGTACACAATGGGGATCATCTTAATCTCCGATAGCGAATCCAATATAAATGTGCAATGCAAAAGGAGGGGAAGAAAAAACTGCACGAGTTGGACTGCCGCCGCCGTCGGAGAGATGTGCAATGGGAAACGCAACGACTGGGCGTCGAAGTCTTCGTCGTCGTCGTCGTTGCCGTCGTCGTGGGATCCGGACGCGGTGTTGCCGTTTTGCCAGCTCGATCACGTCCTGGAAATATTAGACACGCCACACATACTTAAACAACTGGTTTTCGTGTGTCTACGCGTATATACCGTGTTTCTGGTCAAACATTGTTTACGTTTTCTCCCGATGCAGAAAAACAATGGCCGTGGTTTTTTAATCGGACGAAAAATAAAAATATAAAAAAACCACCAACACCGGCGTGACACTGCCATCAATTTCGTCGACGAATAGACTCAATACCTGCAGATTTAAGGTAGGCTAGGGGAAACACAATTTATCGTTATTAAAATGATATTTTTAGTTTTTAACAATACAAATATTTTTTTACATGCTTACCTACTAAAACCTAAATATTATAATTAGTAGATAATTACTTTCAACATTAGAGACATCACATTAGTGATTTTTCAATTATTCTGTTCTTTTCCCCCGCTTGTTATCGTTTGAAATTCAATTGTTATTTTTTCCTACAGAGGCATACACAGGAATTACCAGTATAAGGGAGGTCACCTATACTAAAAGAATATATAAAGGACACATATGTTATGTTTTATAAAAACACTTTATTGAGCCAAGGGAGGATTGTAAGCACCGACATTTCCCTCTACTGCAGTGTATACACCACTGAGTGCATAATAATATAAAATATTATAATCTATGAACTATATAATTATATTTTTTTTTAACAACATATAAGTATTTTTCTTTAAATTCGATGGCGGATATATTTTAGCTTATTAACATTTAATAACTGTATAGGTATAGGATTAATGAATATAAAGTTATCTATTCACTATTCCCCAATAAATGTAATAATGTTCAAATACTAAATAGATGATAAGAATAACATATGATTGTGTATTAATTTTGTCATCTGTGACTTGTGAGGGCCTTCAACTCTTATCTGGACTTGCACACATTAAATATTATAATATCACGTCCGACATCAATTACCTATAGTTATTGATATTATCCTCGGCATTATTTTAGTATGAGTACGTAATATAATGATATACGTGTAGATACATTGTGAGCGTTTGCATAATAATATGCACCGTGGTCGGGAAACTCGATTATCAGAAATTACGAGATCGGTTACAATGCGCCGGGTAAATCGAAGACTTGACCGCTAATGACCATAATAGTGTCTATAATTGATCATCATTATACTAATATAATAGGCATTGTAATATTATTATTATCGAAAACTGGTCGTGAGTTTAGACTTGAAAGTACAACGTACCAACCATATTATGCTGTGTATGGAAAACCAAACACACCGTACTCCGATCATATTACTCGTATATATTCGGGTAAACGAATTGCCACTAATATATTGTATGCAATACGAGACCAAAAGTGCTGAGGCGATCGTCAGCGTGGAATCGAAGTGTGACACTGAGGATAAAAACAAAAACGACATAATATCATAATATATAAAGCCAGTGTACTACGCGTGTTGCGTATGTCGAACTGTACCTGTACATTATAGCCGTGTACGGAGTACATAAAAACATACATATATTTAAATTTTAAATATATTATTATTATATCGACGCGATACGTTTCCGCGTGTGTCTAATGTATAGTGTGTGTCCGAAGCGACTATGTAACAAACCTTTCCATTGGCCTCAAGATACGACTATTATATACGAATAATAATAATAATAATAATAATACGAAAACAGGACGTGTGCTAGAGTTTCGCGTTGTCTGTCGGATAAAGTGTATAAATTCTTTGATAATAATATCACATATAATAATATATATATATTCGGTATACCCGAGTGTAAGTTGCGCAACTGTATAGGTGCATATATATTTATTTTTTATATATTATATTATATAGGTACCGGTTGCAGTGAAGTATAATATGTTCAATTATATGTGTGTGCGTGTGTGTGTTTTTCCACGTGTTTTATCTTGTAATAGGTAAAATAATATAAGTATATTGTGCGTACGTTGTATATTTTGTATGTGCACTTTGTATGCGTGCGTTTCATGTATAGGTAAAAACGATTATTACACTTCGAAGATTTTTTTTTTTTTTTAATTTTAATTTTGCGGACTCAAACCCACTGTAGCCGTACAGAGGAGGGGAGCGTGGGACTCGTAGCCCCTAACTTTTTCGAAGGCGTATATTATTATTTTTATTATTATCATTATTATTATATTACCACGCTGTGCGTTTTTATATTTCTATTCTCCTAACCCCCCTCCCCCACCCCCACACGGTGAACAGATTTTCTCCGACCGGTTAATGCCCGGAGAGGCGGCGCAGCGGCGGCTGAAATCGGAACCCATTCCGTCCGTGTCTGTAGCGTGAACTGAAGGGGAAAAAAATCGTGAACTCGGGAACCGGCTCTCTAAACCGCTTCGGTTCAAGTACCTACTGACTTAGTTTCACGTCGTTGGCGGTGGCCTCGTGTCAGAGTCGTCGTATTGCGTGTTTGTATATATATATATATATATATATGTATAAATAGATATATCTGTATGAACGTATTTTTTTTTAACCGCTATGATTTTATAAACAATATTGATTCAATTTTTTTTTTTTTTTTTGACACCGGTTTCCCGTCTCGAGTAAAACAAAATATTACAATAATAATATGGCCATCTCATATTATAACTATGTGTCCTGTTATTAATATTTTGTCCATATGCCTATAATGTATAATATATTGTCAAACGCTATGCGTGTAAGCTTTTCCGATCGACGACTTTGCCCAATTGGCATCATCTCATAGATCGCACAGATGTGATATCGCATCATAACGTTGTTTATACATATTTTCAAATACGATAACACTCGCGGCATGTTATACTACTTTTCCGATTTCCAAATAAACGTTTTTTATATACCTATTATTTTTAATTTTTTTTTTTTTTGGGGGGGGGTTGAGGCTTCGACTACTGAGGTCATTAGCCTGTGGAACTGTGGGGAAGGTACTGTAGGTATAGAACATGTATGTGTTCGTTTTGGCAGAATTTTTAAGTGGACATCTGCCATGCCCGGGTGGGGGATGGCGGCCTCTCTCTCCGGACACCACGATTGCCCAAAGAAAAAGTTCAAACCGGCGAGGGTGCGAGTCACAACCGAAGCCTTAATCCGCTCGGCCACTTCGTTCTCCATACCAATTATTATAATATTATATTATACTTATATCGCTGACCACGCACATCATGAAACATGCATTTTTTTTTTTTTACAAACGACATCAAATCGCTTGATTTGTTTACAAAATTTTAATTTACGAGTTCACTTTAACATTATTACATCTGAAACGATGAATCAATATACAAATCTTGTTGGATAATACATATAGAATATTATACCAGACTGTCCAGACTATACCGCAGTGTAATGTATTACATGTATATATAATTACTTGTATACAAATCGTACAAACTGCGGTAAGCCGGTAACGATGGCCGATGTCCACGACAACAACAATTAATTCCATTCCTGCAGTAGCACTAATGTTATATAATATCGTTATTATTGTAATTCGATATGTGGTATCCTTAATCGAAGATCGATTTGTTCGTTAATCGACTATAAACTAGCACTTTTAATAGTACCTGGGTATTATTATAATATACTACTTACTTATAGATACGACATACCTATATAATGTATAATAATGCATGTACACTGTTTTATCGTATGAGTAAATCCAATTCAGTATAGTTACCCGAGATCCGTGCGTTTTAGTGGCACGTACAAGATGAAGATAAAAATAAGAAATAATCAGTTCTTTCATGACTACATATTCGGGCACGTAGAAAAAATGTCCTACAAAACGATTAAAATGTATAACGTTATAACAATTTTATCATTGTAATTGTGACATTGTACCTACAATAATATGATGTATCGACGTATACCGTAATTATTATTGTTCAGAACCCTTATATTATTATGCATTAATAATGTAATATTGTAATGTTATATAACTATATGAGGTCATTAGGGAAATATTATAAATATAGTTTTTAGCTATCTAATAATATCAAGAAGAAAATCTTTATTCAATCATTATAGACGATTCAAAGAAAGCTTTTTATCTTTTATTTATTTAAAAAATAACTTTCATAAACAGTTTTGTCTAACTTGATTCTGGACATCATATTAAAAATGTAATTTTTGATCATTAATACACAATAATAATTATTAACTCAGATGAACAATAATTACAGTCTTACAGTAAATTACTAGACAAATTTTTTTTTTAAGAATAATCTTTAAAAACAACGACAATAATAATTAATTTTAATTTTATCAAATTTCTTTGGTGGATAATAAATAGTACCGTGAATGTAATACGCGTATATTTTCGCATAATGTTTCCAGCTCATAATCCCGTATAATTATGGAAAATTTGATACGACGAGGAGAAAACGGACCTATATCGGCGTGTCGAAAATTGTTCTCTTGCAGTAGCGAAGGCGATATAATATAGAGGATTGCCCACACTTTCTACAGTCGACTGGCTGTCAATTTTTTTCTCATTAGCAAATCGACATGTACTAGACCTTTAATAAACTCACAGCCGTATAGTAATTATAGGGTATCTGAGCAATGACGATTTACCACGTGGTGGTATACCTACTACAGTATACACGTTTTTCTCTAGAAATATAACCGGTCTGTGTATATAATCATATATAATATATACCAGCTAATACGTGTGTGTGTATATTATAATCTCCTCGTTGCTCATCGTTTTTCGCGTTTTGTCGACTTAAAATTTATAAGTCGGTATTATAAATATCTTATGCTACTAGCTATATTATGGCATACCGAGTTAATTATCATTAACATTTATTCGATTTCCCAGTCAACTATATACGATCCTCGCTGAAGAGAAACCCGAAACCGTATATATTATTATACCAGATAACTATAATACTACCTGCATCTATCGAGTGCCAACTGTACCGACCACGAATTGCTGAAACCATATCATACAATTACTTTTAGACCAAACTGTCAAATATGCAGGAAGGAAGAGTATGACACGTTCCACATCAATATATATTGGTAAGCGACATCGTGTGTCTCACAATTGATCAACTTGGTCGAATAAAGTTTAAAAGCTTATTTGTCATTCGATACAATATACGACCAATAACTCACAAAACGCATACAAATAAGAATACAAAAGACTGCGCGT